AGAGGTGGGGGTGCCTGGGTGGCTCAGTCGGTTGAGCATCCAACTTTTGGCTTCAGCTCAGGTCATGATCTCAGGGTCGTGAGATCGAGCCCCACATGAGGCTCCTCGCTGGTTGGGGAGTCTGCTTGAGATTCTCTCTCCCTCTCCCTCTGCCCCTCTCCGCTCTCTCTCTCTCCCTCAACTAAATAAATATTTTTTTAAAAATTTAAAAGTTAAAAAAAAAAGAATTTCTGGAGGTGGAACCAGGCATCAGTATATAAAACCCCTCAGATGATTCTATGTGCAGCCAGGGTTGGGAACCACAAAGATAGGCCTAGAGGGTTCAACGCAGAGCTCCAGTGGGAGCTCAGGCTCAGACTCCCATTACAGGTGCTTTTCAGCTTTGTCCTGCTCTCTCCCGGGAAGAGTCATAGTTATATGGGTAATTGGGTGTGTGTTACAGTAAACTTCACCTGCCCCGCTCACCTTCAGGTTTCAGTATATAACACTGAATTTCATGTAATTCCTCAATGAAAAGTCCTGTTTCTGAACTTTATTCTTCCTCTGAGACTTGTCTTGAACTTCTGTTTGAGGTATAAAATGGAGCTAGAAAAACTGTCTATTTGTGTGATTTTCACATTCACACACACAGACACAGACACATAGAGACACACACACACACACCTACACACACCTACACACACACACACACACACCAAGCAAATACACCAGTAAAATAACAATAATTATATAGATATCCAAGGATGAAATCCATGTAAAGAAAATCCAGTTTTATTCTATAATCAGCATACTAAAGAACTGGAGCAACTCATACTGTGAAATATTTTTAAATACACTTTGAATGGTTTCTTCAGTTTCTTAAATCAGTTCCTCAGCCATAATTTCTAGGCCTTATTTGGTAACAATAGCGATATGAACCTTGATTTTAAATAATATGAATAAACTTATTAAAATATATGATTAAGTCCACTATAAAACAAATGAGACTCAAAATATTTTGAATACTATTCCCAATTTTCTTTATCAGCTTGCTCAAAGCTGGGACATTATTTAATCTCATTAAAATATCTTACAGGCTATGATAAAAGCAGAGAGACTCTTAATTGAATGCTTAATTGAGGTGCTTTTGCAGTATCCAAATCAAAATAAGCGAGGGAGTGTTGACTATTGATCTTTTTCTTTCTCCAAGGAACATTTTTGTATATACCACTCTGGATGACCTAGTCCAGAACCAAAAGAACTCAGAGGCATTGGGAAGTTCTTTTTTTTTTTTTTTAATTTTTTTAAAGATTTTATTCATTCACTTGAGACACAGAGATACAGAGAGAGAGCATGAGCAGGGGGAGAGGCAGAGGGAGAGGGAGAAGCAGGCACTCCGCTGAGCCAGGAGCCCAATATGGGGCTCGATCCCAGGACCCTGGGATCATGACCCAAGCCGAAGGCAGACGCTTAACCATCTGAGCCACCCAGGTGCCCCCACTGGGAAGTTCTTAACGCATATGTATTTTTCCTGCTTATTCGGCAATCATTCTTTCATCAACAGGAGCAAGATATCCTGTGGAAAAAAATCCTACATAGCTAAGGTGGTAAAACGATCTCTTTATAATCTTCATTGGGATCTGAAGAACTAACTCTTATCTCTCACTCATAAATCAAACAATGTCTGATAAATGTGGTAGCTTTGCATACCAAGAGGACTGAGCCTGGAACCCAAGACCTTTCTCATTCCCTCCAGGGCTATGGGCTTCCTTCTCAAAAGCCAGAGATGTTTCTTTGATACATTTGCATAATAAACCCAAATGAAGATGGAAGTCTTGATTCTGCATATGTCAGCTTTCCTGGAAGTTTTCTGTTTGCTCGCAGATTTTTATTGCAAAATGAAAAAAAATAGATCAGGGAAAGAGAAATTTTATTGGTGGTCTAATATTCCCAAGACATGAGAATTTTGAATTTCTTGCTTTTATCGTCTTTAAATTATATCGATATAAAAAATACAACTGCGACACTTTTCTATTTATTTAATATTTCTCTGAGTCTCATTAGACATTAGCTAGTTATCCATCAAGCATAGCAGAAGCAGACTTTAGGTTGTCAAGGACACTGGAATTCTCTCTTTAGTCCAAATGACAATTTTATTTAAAAACAAACCTCTTTCTCAAGAAAAAGATTAAAAAGATTATTTGAAGCTTTTTCAGATTGAGTGGTATATGCAAATGACAGCCCTCCTTTGCTAAGGTCCGAGGTCTTGGATGCTTCCTGTATACGTTAAGGACCACACAGAAATACACATTTGGAATCAAAACTGGCCCTTGTGTTTATAAGTGATATTACCTTTAATGCAGGTAGGGGGAAAGAAGTCCTTTTTCACCCCTGAGGAACCCAAGTATTGCTAAACCAAGGTTTATAACTTGACTGTCCTAATTGCTTTCCTTTTCTTCTAGACATGCATGCCAGGATTTTATCGACTGCGGTCTGAGCCGGGTAGCCACACTCCTAGACCAACTCTGGGCACCTGTGTTCCATGTCAGTGTAATGGACACAGCAGCCTGTGTGACCCTGAAACCTCCAAGTGCCAGGTATTTACCACGTCTTTCTTGACTAAGGCCCCTGTGATCATTTATCTTTATACATGCTCAGATAGCATGTGCAGAGGTGAGTGAGCTAAATGGCAGGGAACTTGTGTATGTGTGTGTGAAATAAAACGTGGGAAAAAAAGACATTTACCATATTATACATTTTTTAAAGTAATTAAAAATTGATCATTGCAAAAACCACTGCTCGTGTCAAGAAATAAAATATTAACAGCATTTTAGGAGAACACCTGAGGATACTACTATTTATTTAAAATCATACGAGGGCTTTTTTTCTGATTACATGCAAAAATAAACATATAAAAAAATCTGGAAATTATAAAAAAGTATTAAAAAAAGATAAAAGTCATCTAAAATTCAACATAAACGTTTAATATTTTTGGTATTTTCTATGAATTTTATGCATGTGTTTATAAATAAGATTCATATAATACCATAGGTGCCATTTTATGTTCTGCTTTTTAAATATACCTATTATGAGCATGTTATGTTGCTGGATGTTCTTTGAAATCTTTAGTCTTTGATTAGATTACGAAATCCCTATTTCCCCCTCTCTCTTGCAGCATCACTTTTTGGTTTCTTTGCTATCTTAAAAAAAATAATAGTAAAAATAAAAACAAAAAACAAAACAAAAATAGGGGCACCTGGGTGGTTCAGTTGGTTGAACGGTGGACTCTTGGTTTCTGCTCAGGTTATGATCTCTTATCAAAGACTAAAGATTTAATTTAACCACTTAATTTAACCCATAATTTAACCACTTCCTGTAGAATTCCAGCTGCTCTTGTTGTTGTGGTTGTATTCATGCTAACAGCCTGCCCTCCACCACTGCTATCCACCTTGGAACAGTCAGGACTCTCAAGAAATTCAGGTTTGCCATGTCACCACAAGGAGTTCCCCAGACTCTAATCCTCACCCAGGTCTGGACATCAGATTTGCTAAACCCATTTCCCACCTCTCCTCATCTACTGAAACCCCTCCAATGAGGCTTCTGGAACTCAAAGTAGAAACTCAGCAAACCCCCCCACATATTCTCCCTCTTTGTTTAATATTCTCTTTGTTTTGCTGTCCCCAACATACTGCTCCCCCTAGAGCCCTCCAAGTGGTAGCTCTTGCCTCACACTCTTCACTTCCACTGAGTCTGAAGGCAGGTATCCTTGCTCCTCACTGCCGCTTTCCTATCATCCTCCCTTCTCCCCCATAACAACACATGGCTTTGAATCTCATGCCCCCATCTATTTGCCCACTACACCTGCTCATTGATGTTCTCTCCTAACCCTCAGGTCACTCACCTCATTCCTTGAAGATTTTTCCTTTGTATCTTTGCCATTCTCTCTAGCACTATTCCTGTCATAATTCTTGGTGATTTTAATGTTCGTGAAATTAACTCTTCCATACCCTTAACTCTGCTTTTCCTCACTCCATGTTGCTATTCTAGAACTTGTCATTACGAGAAACTGAAATGCCTCCACAGTCTCAAGGTCAGTTGTCCTCTTCTTCAACCACCATCTCTTTTCTTTCCAATTCACTTCTTCTTGATACATCAACTCCAACCTTTTTAGTCTCACCATTGATGCTCACACCTTTTCATTGTTCCTTAGCTCCTTCATGCCCTCACTTTCTCAACCAGCTTAATATTCACAACCCTTCATTAGTATAGCTGCCTTGTAATGTTCATTTCTCTTGCTACTCCTTTATTTTCACTCAGTTAATTCTAACGCTTGTTAAATCCTACTGTTCCACACCTATGCCTTCTAAGCTGAATGTGGCTGATGAAAAACAACTATGTTTTCTAGTCTCATCATAAATTCATCATCACTCACTTCGGATCAACCCTTTGTGCTCCTCTGCAATCATATCACTTTACTTCAGTCCATTTCCTCTCCCACATTTCTGGATGATTATTTCATACCTTCCCCTTCCTCTTCAAGCCCTCAAACCCCTCCACCAATCCTTCTCCAGACTTAATCTCAATTGATGGTCATGCTTTTATTTCATTGAAAGATTAGAAGTAGTTGGAAGAGAACTAATAGGATCTTCCATTACCGCATGCACCCACCTTTCTGCATCTCTGTGCAGTTACTCCAACTCTTCCATCATTTTAGATGAACTTTTCTTGTTTCTAGAAAAGACCAAGTCTGCACTTATGCTCTAGATCCCAGCCCTTTCTCCTGCTCAAAGACATCATTCTGCCCATCCCTATTTCCCCTCTCTCTTGCAGCATCACTTTTTGGTTTCTTTGCTATCTTAAAAATAATAGTAAAAATAAAAACAAAAAACAAAACAAAAATAGGGGCACCTGGGTGGTTCATTCGGTTGAGCGATGGACTCTTGGTTTCTGCTCAGGTTATGATCTCATGGGTCCCCCATGTGTATGTGTGTGCATGTGCTCTATCTCTAAAATAAATGGATGAATTTTTTTTTTTAAGATTTTATTTATTTTAGAGAGAGAGCATGGGTGTGTGCAAGGGGAGCGGCAGAGGGAGAAGGAGAGAGAATCTTAAGCAAACTCAGTCACGGTGAGCATGGAGCCCCACTTAGGGCTTAATCCCAGGACCTGAAATCATGACCTGAGCCAAAATCAAGAGTCAGACATCTAACCAATTGAACCACCCAGGCACTCCATAAATGGATGAATCTTTTAAAAAATAAAATAAAATAATAAAATAAGATAAAAATAAAAACAAACTCTCTTGACTTCACTTTCCCTCTTGACTTCTACCACTTCATTCCTCTCCTTATATACAGTAAAGAGTTGTTTATACTCTCTCTAGTTTCTCTCCTCCATTCTCTCTTGAATTACTAAAACCAGACTTTTACCTCTACCACTATACTGAAACCAGTGACTAATATTCAGCTATCAGCCTTCATCTTTCTTGATCAATCAGCAGCATTTGCTACTCTAAATCATCCATTCTTCTTTAAAGTTTTTGTTCACTTTGCTTCCCTGGACATGCCATTCCAGGGATTTCTAAACCAGGTGACTACACCTTCTGTCTTTGCTATATTTTCCTCCGTACTTGAAATCTACATACTGGGGTTTCCAGGATTCAATCCTTGGAACAGTTTGCTTCTCTAACTTATACTCATTCTCATGGTGATCTTACCCAAGCACATGCCTTTCAGTACCTACACTGAGAGACCATGGTATTTACCATTGTTTCTATGATTAAATTTTAGATCCAACTCCTTAATCTCTCTAGAATTTATTGTGGTATGAAGAGGTATCTTTCTTCAAATATATATTATTTTATTTTTTATTTTATTTATTTTTACTTATTTTATTTAAATGCAATTAGTTAACATATAGTGTCAGATGTAGAGTTCAGTAATTCAGCAATAGCATATAACACCCAGTGCTCATTACTTCACGTGCCCTCCTTAATTCCCATCACCTATTACTTTAAAGAAACATTTATTTATTAACATTTCCTTTATTAACATTTATTAACATTTCCTCCTTAATACATTATGGTATCTGAATATATACACATTTGTTTTATCCATATTAAGATATGTTTAAAGGATCATCTATTCTGTACTATTTACCTTCTAGTTCTTATTACAGTGTTCTGATCACCTTCATTTTATACTAAGTTATAATATCTGAAAAATTAGGGGTGCCTGGCTCAGTCAGTTAAACATCTGCCTTTGGCTCAGGTCATGATCCCATGGTCCTGGGATCAGGCCCCATGTCGGACTTCCTGCTCAATGGGAGTCTGCTTCTCCCTTTGCCCTTCCACCACCTCCTCCCCCTGCTCATACTCTCTCTCTCTCTCTCTCAAATAAATAAATAAAATCTTTTCAAAAAATCTGGCAAACTCAGGTCCTTTCTTCTTCTTTTTCTAATTTCTTGACTAGATGTAATTATGTATTCTTCCAGATGACATTCTGATTCAGTTTCAATCTCTTCACCAAAGAGTGTTACTGGAATTTTTATTGGAATGGCATTAAACCTATGTGTAAAGAATTGCTGTCTTTACAATATCCAGTTATCTTCCCTCAACCGAGGTGTATAATACTCTTTTCTATTCAAAACATTTTGTGTCTCACAGTATACTGTTTTTATTATTACCTGTATAGATTATGTATTTCTTATATTAAAGTTATTTCTATGCATCTTACATTTTTACTTCAATGGTGAATGTTACATTTTTTTCTGTTTCAATATATTCACTAACATGTCGTTACTGATAAACATTAACAGAATAGATTTTTGATATCCAACCACTTTGTGGTTCTAGAAGTTTCTCAGTTGATTCTTTCAGTTATTTTTATATTTACAATAATATTATTTACAGATCTTTGTAATTGTGCTTTTTCTTGCCAGAAGGTGTACCTAGTATAATAATTTTATGTTTTTGCCTTAAGTCTTCTAAAAATATTAAATAGGAGGGTAATCAGCTTCCTCTCTTATTCCTAATTTTAATATGAATGCCTCAAGTCTTTTGCCACAAAGTATGACGGTGGTGGTTAGCTGAAGATAGATATTCTTTACCATGTTGAGAAAACTTCTTTTTATTCCTGACTTCTTAAAGATATTCCCTTTCAGTCAGGATAGGATATTGAAATTGATTATGTGCTTATTTATGAGGAGTAGAGTAAAGGAAAAGATGCATTAAAGATACGCATTTTGGATATGATCATATATTTCTTTTTACCTTAAACAGAATGATGAATGATATTATTGACTAGATGAATAAGTGAATAATATTAACCATCCTTGAATTCCTGAAACAATTATTATTTGCTCAGTGTAGTATTCTCTCTCTAATCTGCTGGCTTGTAAAATTCAATAAATAATTCAAGAGAGGGGATTAATTTATACATCTTAAGTGAGAATTAAATGCATTGTTTCTTCTTATGTAATCTTCACTGGTATTTCTTAGCAGAGCTATATTTAATTCATATTATTTTTTTTAAAGATTTATTTATTTATTTTAGAGGAGAAAGAGAAAGCGTGAGTGAGGGGAGGGGCAGAGGGAGAG